AGCCACCCCTGGCCGGTGGCCAGTACACGAAGTTGATCAGCGGTGGTTTATCAAGTTTTAGGATTTCTGTTAGCATGTTAGCAATCACAGTGGGTGAACACTCACCCGCCGACTCGGGAAGTCCAATATTATAACGTCTGGTTTGCCCCTCTACGGCTTCAGACTGTTTTTTAAGACCATCAATTTTAGTCCTCGGCTCCACCAACGTTGCACGCAGCTCTTCCAGTTCGTCCGAATGGGAAGACAAGCAATTTTTTAGCTCACAATTAGTAGACCCAGCCCGGTCAATATCCGCTCTGAGAGACCCAGCGGTGTTCATGAGCTCTGTCCGAACAGTCAATAATTCGCTCTTTATAAAGTCAAAATCTTCAGTTCTTTTTTAATCATTGCTGCAACATCGGCTCTTACTGAGGCCAGGAGGTATGATCTTAGAGCCGAAATGTCTCTCCCTCCAGTGCCCAGCGAAGCAGCTGCCTTTCCGGCGTCTCCCTCATGGCAGTCTGAAGCTTTAATCATAATCAGAATCAGATTAAACTTTATTGGCATTGTACCGAGATACAACGTGAATAAGTACGTACAGTCATCCGAAGATGGGCGGAGTGCTCTTTAGCATTAGAGTAAGCATTAGCAAAAGGCAGTGGTGGAGATGATGTCAAAATTTTAGATTTTTTGTGCTTAGAGAACATATTATCAGCTTGTTGGCTCAGTTCTATGGCAATACCAGTCTTGGAAACAGAATCCAGCCCTAAGGTAGCAAGAGTGCAGTTATAAAATTTGTTTTCCATCAGGCCTGACGGGAGCTCTCCAAGACACAGCCTACATCATCGGCGCCATCTTGCATCTCTCAAAGGTGTTTAACAATAAAAATCATCAATAGTACTAATTTAATGAATAATTACCATATTTTACCAGTACTACTTGACTTCTGGTCACATTACCTCGATAAGACTTCTAGGTAATAATGACCAGTTTATAATTTATAAATAATATCGGTTACGTAGGTGTTTGGCACTGCTCTGTCCAGTGATGCTTAGATAGTTCTTGTGTTCATTTTGTAGGTTGAAGGGTTTTAATCATGAGTGAGACAGCGAAGCATCATGAAGACTTATGGGACAATCATGCAGTCTGAATGCGTGTTGAAAGCAAGCTATAGTGTATAGACTCATTTCCATAGGTCTTGCTCGGCCCTTATTGGCTCTTACTGGGCTGGCACAGGCCAGATCGCTTCATTTTCCGTTTCCACAGTGCCCATTAATGCCCCTTTACACCTTCAGTACCGGTTCTAGTGGGCGGGATTCAAATTGACGTCACACGCCTCACCAGCTGGTGGCGGTAAGACGCTGAAACAAGTTTCAGTACAGGGTGAGAATTTAATTTGAAGTTTCTGGTCAATTAAAAAGAATACAGGTTATTAAAATGATTGAATAATATATACACACACACACATATATACAAACGGGATTCCAAAAAAGTTGGGACACTAAACAAATTGTGAATAAAAACTGAATGCAATGATGTGGAGATGGCAAATGTCAATATTTTATTCGTAATATAACATAGATGACAGGTCAAAAGTTTAATCTGAGTAAATGTAACATTTTAAAGGAAAAATATGTTGATTCAAAATTTCACAGTGTCAACAAATCCCAAAGAAGTTGGGACAGGTAGCAATCAGTGGCTGGAAAGACGAAATTGAACATATAACGAACAGCTGGAAGACCAATTAACACTAATTAGGTCAATTGACAACATGATTGGGTATAAAAAGAGCTTCTCAGAGTGTCAGTGTCTCTCAGAAGCCAAGATGGTAAGAGGATCACCAATTCCACGATTGTTGCGCAGAAAGACAGTGCAGCAATACCAGAATGGTGTTACCCAGCGTAAAATAGCAAAGACTTTTAAGTTATCATCATCAACCGTGCATAACATCATCAAAAGATTCAGAGAATCTGGAACAATCGCTGTGCGTAAGGGTCAAGGCTGTAAAACTCTACTGGATGCTCGTGATCTCCGGGCCCTTAAACGTCACTGCACCTCAAACAGGGATGCCACTGTCAAGGAAATAACAGAATGGGCTCAGGAATACTTTCAGAAAGCATTGTCAGTGAACACAATCCATCGTGCCATCCGCCGTTGCCAGCTGAAACTCTACAGTACAAAGAGGAAGCCATTTCTAAGCAAGCTCCACAAGCTCAGACGTTTGCACTGGGCCAGGGGTCATTTAAAATGGAGTGTGGCAAAATGGAAGACTGTTCTGTGGTCGGATGAGTCACGATTTGTATCCTCATCTCTCGGCTTGAACACTGGGTTGGGATTACAGGTGCTGCATTAGACTGGTTCCGCTCATACCTCTCTGACAGGAGTTTTTGTGTGAAGGTGGGTAAAAATCTATCCACTTCAATGCCTCTTTCCTGCGGTGTCCCGCAGGGCTCGATTCTCGGAACCCTTCTATTTTCACTCTATCTGCTTCCGCTGGGGTCGATCCTAAGAAAACATGGTATTCCATTCCATTGCTACGCCGATGACTGTCAGATCTACCTGCCACTGAAACAAGCCAGTGCTTGTTCAGTCAGAGTCAGAGTCAGAGTTTCTTTATTGTCATTCGCACCTCATGTGGTACATGTGGTGGAGCGAAATTATGTACACAAGGTCCCAGTTACATCCGACAATAAAATGTATAAGAAAAACAGTAATAACATCTAAGATATGAACTAAGAAAAACATCAACAAAATATACACTAAGCACTCATAACATAAAACATTGAGCATCAGCACAAGCATGAACATGAGTCTGTGAGCAGATGTGCACGCATGAACACATCAACATTGAAACAGATCAGCAGCAACATGAAACAGATCAGCATCAACATATGGTTTTTCACAGTGATTATTCTAGTTAGAGATTCGTGAGTCTAACAGCCTCAGGGTAGAAGCTGTTCCTCAGTCTAGTGGTTCTACACTTAATGCTCCTTAACCTCCTTCCTGAGGGGAGTGGGGCAAAAAGTGTGTGTGCTGGATGAGTGGGGTCCTTCATGATGCAGGTGGCCCTCTTCCTGCATCTGGAGGT